GGAATCATTTCCGGGGTTGACTCCATGTTGAGTATCAAATCCAATGCACATAGTAAGTAAAGTAAAACAACCAAAACATTACATAATAAAAGTTTTACAGTTGTTCAAAAATAAAGTTTGTACAGTTGTGATACATAGTATATATATAGACAAAATGAAACGGATCTTCATGTACTCCGTCTTCGAGCAAAAGGATCTTCGGGTACCTGTTCTAACGCTGACCTGAGAACACAAGCGGTTTAAAAATCAGCATAAAGCTGGTGAGTTCATAAGCGGTTTTGTTTTATTAAAATGTATCGGTTTCCTTTCTGTATCTGAAATGTTATGTTCTCCAAGAAAATCCCGTATTTTCTTAACGTTGGTTATTGTTTCACAAATGTAAAGTATAGTAAGTTTGTACACTGAAAATATGTTTATTCATGTGAAAATGTATAGTTGGTTATCTGACCGGTTGAACTGTTCTGTTTACTTATCATGTGTTACCAGGAAAGTCCCATACTTTCCTTATTGTATGTTACAAATTGTAAAAGACATGTAATGTTCTCCAGTTTGTTACTCTTTCTAGTTATGTAAATGTTACCCAGGAAAGCCCCATGTTTTTCCTGCATGTATGTATCTAATGGAAACGATGTTAAAGATGTAAAAGATGTAATCGTGATTAGATTCTATGTTTTCCCTAGGAAAGTCCCGTACCTTCCTGAATGTTGGTTACAGTAAGTAGAAGATGTAAAAGATGTCAAAGATGTAAACGATGTATAAAGTAATCCATTATTACTGTAAATAAATCTCTGTTATCCTAATTGCGAGTTCCATAACCATATAATAGATTGAAACCTGTGGCAATAAGTCGTCCACATACTTATGACTTTCGTCACCCTTGAACCATTTCGGTTCGGCTGTAGCTAGCAGCCAGGTGTGGGGTAGTCAGCCCCGTATAGATCTATACACTCAAGTCACGCTCTCTAAGTACCAGAGATTCTGGTTATGGGTGTAGTCCTCCACTCGCGTAATCTGGGTGGAGTGTTCTCTGAGGACGTGTCTCCAATCATACAGGAATAACAAATTTACTAGTAATAATATGATAGTCCTCCACTCGTATATGTGTGGGGAGTGTTACCGAGGACAAAACAGTGTACAGGTATTATGTTCAAATGTTTTAATGTCGTGCTTTTAACTGATAAAATGTGGAAAACCATTTGTGAAATACATGTAAAACATACTAGTTTAAAGACTTATTTCACAAATATATGTTACGTGATCTGTATGTTCAATCTGTTATCAGTTGTAATATCAGTTATAAAAGCATAAGAATATGAAACACACATTTGAAAACATGTTTTGAGTACAAGAATTCCCTTGTACTTTGCTTGTGTTCCCCCTAAAAACAGTGGAAAACAGTGAAAAAGGGTAGGGGTATGAACTCACCGGACTCGGAAACGTGTCGGTTTTGAATGCTATACGTTGGTTCGGGTTTGATTACTCGCGATGACCCTATGTAAAATGATATAATGTCCATATATATACAATTAGAGATACACACTACTAGAAAAACAGCCTTTTACGACGCGCAATTTATGATACGCATTGATTTATAACACGCAAAAGTGGGTAACCTAAAAATAATGTCAGCTCTTTAAAAATTTTAAGGATTTCAGACGCGCATTTTTGCGTACCCTAAAATTAGTGTCAGAAAAAAAACACGGAGGGCGCTTATTATAAAATGTGCGTCATCTAGACATGTCGTTTTATATTTTTTAATGAAACACGGGTTGTTTAGTTGCAAGCGGGAAAAGAAAACCCAAAAATTAGAAAAGCCCGCTTTCCCTTCCCTCTTTCCTTCTTTGCCCTAAGCATTTTTTGACGCATCGTTCTTTATCCCCACAATCGACGATACATCTTTCCCCTCCCCACATCGACCGCCAACTACTCCCCTCGCACTCCGGCCACCGCTATGTGCTCTTTCATGGTCGTCGACCCTCCGCCATCGCCGACCCTCCGCCATCGTCAACGTCGAGACGAGCAGTGGTAGAGAAGATGTCGGAGAGTCCTCTGGTGTCGGGGTTCTCACTGGCAGCTCATCTGGAGATAATGAGAGCAGCGCGGTAAACCAAATTTCAGGGGCAAATTTGTCGATCCATTTTTAGGGTTTATTCCCACTCATCATTCCATCGCATCCTCTTTCAATTTCTTAGTGTAATATCTCTCACAACTCAACGATAACGATGCATGAACTGAAAAGCCGACTTCTTCATCGTGGAAGTACTCCGTCTGCATTCTGCTATGGTACATCAGTAATCCGTTGCCTTCCAAGCAAGATTTCGCATTTTCCATTCAAAGTCGGTGCTAGTGTGAGCTCGATGGAGCTGCTTCTTCATAATCCCACTGACACCCTCTTCATCTGTTAAGGTTCCTTCTCCGCCGACCTTATCTGATTCTCCGTAACCCTCCAACACTCCTCGACATCTACGAGGGTTAGTACTTCTCGACTCGTCCTGGTCTTATTCTTTGCTAGTATGCTTCTTTTCTTCCCCTGTTTACTGTTAAGATATATTTGATTTGTGGTCAATGTTCTTATTGGTCAAAATTGTTTGTCTCAAAGAATTGATCAAAGTTTTGAAAAAGAAAATGATTCCAGTCAGCAAAAGAGATGATATAAAAGGTAAATTTCTTTTCTTTTTAGTGTTTTCTTTCATCAGATTCTCTAAACTCTAAAGATTCTTTTCTTCCTGTTCACAGCCATAGCTTCCATCTCTGCTGGAAATGATGAATTTATTGGAAACTTAATTGATGAAGCCATTGATAAAATCGGTCATGGAATAATTTCTATTGAATCATCTTCATCAAGTGAAACTTATGTGATTGTTGAAGAAGGAATGAAGGTATCAAGTGAAATACATCTTGTGATATATTATTCATACATTCTTTTTATCTTTTTCATTTTCATATTTTAATGTCTATTCAGGAATACTTTCCCTACAGATCGACAAAGGATACATGTCTCCTCATTTTGTCACAAATCAGAACAATTTGTCTGTGGAATTTGAAAATGCTAAAGTCCTAATAACAGATCAAAAGATATCATCTGTGAAAGAAATTGTCCCATTGCTAGAAAAGTGTACTCAATTAAGTGTCCCTTTGCTCATTTTTGCTGAAGATATCTCAATCTCAGTTCTTGAAACCCTAATTGTTAACAAAAATCAAGGTTTACTTAGGGTTGCTATTGTGAAATGTCCTGGTGTTGGGGAACGAAAGAAAGCTTTACTTCAAGATATTGCCCTCATGACAGGTAATTCTGTAACAAAGGCTGTTTACAAGGGCTATATTGATAAGAATGTTTGGGTTGGTCTCAAATCTCTGCCTGTTGCTGTTAAGGTTCTCAACAAGGAGGGTCTTCAAGGCCATAGAGAATGGCTTGTAAGCTCCTCTAGTTCTCTGTCCTTCTAACAACTAGTTCTTTGTTTTGTTTTATCTTCCTTATACCATTCTAATCTATATCTGTATTTGGCGTTTTTTGTTGTAGACTGAAGTTAATTTCCTTGGTCAGCTCAGACATCCCAATTTGGTGAAATTGATTGGATATTGATGTGAAGATGACCACAAAATTGCTTGTTTATGTGAGAGAAGGCGTTTTCAACAGTGGGGACACCGGACTATATTGCCCCTGATCTGAAGTGTTGTTGAAGAAAGGACATGGGATGGATTGTGTACAACCTGGTAATCTTGCAACCAACATGAAAACCATCTTCACTTGCCTTCTAGACCAAGTTGTTGATCCATGGATTTATTGATTCTGATGTCCATTTTCTTTTTGGAGGACTCCAGGTTCTAAAATCCCTCACCTTCTTCATATGATATACATATAACATTTGTGTTTTGTTCTTTTCATTTTAGGGCTAAATGCAAATCATAGCAACATACTTTAATTTATTTGTGCATTTCTTTCATCATTATAACATTATACTTTAAATATATTTATCTTACAAGCCATTAATTGTATTTTGAAAATTCTATTTTTTTCTCATCAAGACTTAAATTTTAATGTACTTCCAACTATGATATGCTTATATTACACCTCATCATCCTGTAAGAAAAAACTAAATACAAATTATATAAACTGTAATTAAACCCCACTTAATCACAATTAGTCTTTTCAATCTTGACAGGTATGGCTTTCAAGAATGGATCGCCACATGGGATTGGCTAACTCTTTAGCTTTAAAATTAGTTGGAGTTACAAGTAAATGGAGGTATAAATATGGCCTCCAAGTTACAGATATGGAAATTTTATCTAATATGACTGTTCAATCCGACAAATATGGCCTCCAGGTATTTTTTTTTTATTTTTTCATTTATCTTTAAAAATGTGGTTGTAAATATGTAAAATGACTTACTAGTTGAGCAATTTTTTTCATCGGCTTGCTATTAATGCTATTGGAGATAAGGCCAATGACTTGATCTTGGATATGTATAAATCAGTTGTCTCAACATTTGAGTCATGGAAGTGTAGCCAAGTTTGGTGAACAAGGGATTGTTGCTTCAGTGATATTATATCATAGCTTGTTCAACTCTACTACCTGTGAAAGATTAATACGGAGTAAAATCATTGTTCATATTCATAAAATTAGTTCCCTAGACCAATTTTACTACCTACAGAAACTTTCATCTGATAGAATTTTGTTGTTTACATGTTAACAGAGTAATTGTGTCCTTGAATTATGTATGATCATGAGCCTCTAAATAGAAAGTTCAAGCACTTTATATTCTTGTCAAGTGAGATTAGATCACTGAATTCTTAATTTACAATCTGGATACTATAGGCTGAGGCTGACAGGGAAGCAGGGGAAACAAGGGTGTTCTGACAAGCAAATTCGTTTAAAGATTTTCTCTCCTAATGTTCTTGACATAACTCTGGCATCAGAACAATGATAATGTCATGCATTAAGGCTCCCAACTGTTTAATTCTTGCTGTGACACCAACAAATTCATACCTTGCCAACTCAAATGCCCTGTAGATTGCTGGAAATGCTAATCCAGGTGGTATTTGACTCCATGCACGAGAGGCTGCGTACACATGCTGAATCTGTTGCTTCCTTTGGAGGTGGTGCTCGAGAAAAAGTGGTAACTCCTCTCCTCTTTCTTTTTTATATTTCCTTCCACAAAGGAGAATTTTGGAATATAATATTAATAATAATAATACTACTTGAATATGGTTTGTCTGACAGATGATTGAGTCAAGATTTAATGAGCTTCTTGCTCATGCTAAAATACTTCTGAGGAAGAAATGGTTATTTGGAGTACTGGATGACTTTGTCACCAAACAACTACCCCACAATGTTACTTGGGGATTGAGCTTGTTATATGCTATGGAGCACAAAGTTGATCGTTCATTGACTTCCACTCAAGGTCAATTCCCATTCTCAATTCCGATTCATCATGACATTTGTTTACCACAATTGGAAATAGTTTAGTAGTTGTGAATCGATTACCTGAACCTAATGAAATTTAGGCTTTTATTTTTTTTGTTTGGATGTGAGTGGATTTTTTTGTTAGCAGGTGAGCTTGCACAAGCATTGCGGTTTTTGGCATCAGTTGTATCTCAAAGCTTCTTGGCCTTTGGTGACATCTTGGAGCTGCATAGAAAGTTCATCGAACTGTCTGGTGGTGTTCATTGGATTTTTGAACTTGAGGAACTTCTTGATGCTACACAATGGTTAGTGTTTATCTAATCTTCTAGGCTCTTCCTTATTTACTAATAATCTGATGGAAATTGCAGATGAAAATGCCGGTACTTCATCAAAGTCCAATGAGGAATCTAAGGATGTTATCTCTTTTTCGGAGGTTGATATTATCACGCCAACACAGAATTTATTAGCCAGAAAGTTGACTTGCGAGATAGTATCAGGGAAAAGCCTTCTTCTTACCGGTTAGTGTTATAGTCAGAGATAATGATTATAAATACTTGTGAGGATTAAAAAAAATAAAAAAATAAAATGAAGATATAGTTACTGCTACTACGAGTAAATTAGAAATTATTTGGTACAAGAGAATGTAAGTTTCTATGCCATATCAATGTTAAGTTGAAATTAGAAAGTATAGTGTTCATTTCTTAGAACAAATCTATAATTACTCATATATTACTTTATCAGAAAGGATGTTTATGATCTTCATCAAGGTGTGCTAGGTAAATCTATATTTAACATTAAGATATATTAGAAAATGAGAAATGAGTTAATTTATTTATTTTGATTTGTTGTTCATCAAGCTGGTTTGTATGCATCCTATTCTATGTCCAACACAACAAGGATGATGATGGTGCCTTTATATCTTCTTAAACTGTTACCTAATAATTTTTCTCATCTTATTACATCATATTTCTTCATTTTTAACTCCTTAATTTATCAATCTAATCATTATTAACTTCATTCTTGTAAAACCAGGTGTCTATGCTATATAATGATTGGTTTTCCACTTTTCATGGTGGAAGTGGACAGAGGGTTTCTCTTTCACAGTTTGTAACATCTTGTATTCAAGAAATAGCAATGTACTTTCCATAAAAAAAATTATAAATTATATTCTTTGAAAAAATTGCTAGATTGGTAGGTTTAAAAGTATAATGTCCTAATACGAATTAATTTTAAAAGTAGAATGAAAATGACAAGTGATTTTGTGTTGTGTTTTTACAGGGTTGATGAAAGCGAATAGATCTGAAGTTAGAAGAGGAAAAGAAAGCTCAAGCTGAAAGAGATAAGATGCTGCAAATGCAAGTGTTGCATTCTTCATTTCAATTGTTAGTATGAAACAAAGAGTAAATTAGATGAATGCAAATTTATATATTGTAAGAAATAGAATTGTATGACATTAAATTTTATGCAATGGATTGTATTTTTTGTATATGGTATCTTATTTCTATTATGAGACATTAAATGCAAGTATATAAATATATTTTTTTTTAAACATTTAAATTTACGATATGCAAAATTGTGTGTCATCTTCATTTATAACATGGCATTTCTTGACAGAGGTTTTAATGATACGCATTACGTGTCAGTAACACGCGCGTCGTAAGGTTACGACACGCGAATGTGTGTCGTATTCCTTTATGACAGGGCCTTCCTTGATACGCATTGCGTGTCGTAAACGCGCGTCGTCTCTCTTTATGACAGGGCCTTCCTTGATGCGCATTTGCGCGTCGTCTGAGCCTTTTACGACACGCAATGAGCGTCGTAAAAGACTGTTTTTCTAGTAGTGACATTCACTAATCATATGGAACATTACACTCCAATGAGGTTAAACACCTCAAAACGAGCGTTTGGAGTGACCCGGGTGACATCTTCGGACTTGTAATGGCACTAGGGACTTGGGACTTGAGTTTACTCTCCATAAGTAAACATTTAAAAGAGTTTACAACTATGGAACACACACATACATGAGTTTACGGTCGTAAACTCATATGGGTGTGGTTTTGATGGTTTATGGGCTCAAATGGACATAGGGGTTGCTAGAATGGATTATCTAAATTGCCTCGGAACACTTGGAATGAGTTTAAATCATCAAAAATGATTATTTTATGGGAGTTTACGGCCTAATATAGGCTCCTGGCCGTAAACTCCTTAATCTTAGTGAAAATGATGTTTAATGTTGTTAAAACAAATCACATGTGATTACTAGAATTATTCCAAGACCTTACATGAGTTTTATGGGACATTTGAGGGGTGTTATGGAGTTTACGGCCCATGAGACCCTCCTCATGGCTGTAAACTCTTATGTAGGGTCATACAAAGTGTTTCAAGGTCTAAAACTTGCATAGAAGGGCTTCTAAAATTCATCTAAAGGATTTAGGGGTGTTTAGTTTGCATTCTAACACCAAAAGTTTTGGAGTTTACGGCCCAAGAACAAACCTTGGCCGTAAACTCTTATAAATCCCACAAATGATGTGTTTTAGGCCCTTAAAGTATTTTTGGTTGGTCCCTTGATTTATTCCAAGGCTTTTGGTGGTGTTGGATGGCTTTCTAACACCTTAGAATTGGATTTATGTCATATTTTGGGGAGTTTACGGCCTAAGCACTCTCATTGGCCGTAAACTCACATAAGTCCCATAAAATTCATGTTTCAAGTGTCCAAATGCTAAAACCAAGGTCCTATAATTCATATCTAAGCCATAGAAGTGATTTGGAAGGGTTTAAGGGCATGAAAACCCTAATTATATGAGTTTACAGCCCAAGAATGTTCCTTGGCCGTAAACTCCTTCAAATGGCTCAAAATCTATGTTTTAAATGTTTAGAGTCCAAATCTTGAAGTCCCATAGCCATAACTAAAGTCCAATTGAGTTTAGGAAGGAGTTTAAGGGCTTAAAACCCCTTTTAATGGAGTTTACGGCCCAAGCTTGTTCCTTGGCCGTAAACTCATGTTCTTGGACCTAAAACTCAATTATTTCATCAATTTGAAGGTTAAAGATGCTGAATAACATGCTAGGGAGGTTACCTTAAAGATTTGAAGCCTTAAACTTGAGATTTGGACCTTAATTCTAGCTTGAGGAGAGAGGTTGTAAGAGTTTAGTGAGAAACTTGCCAAAAGGCTTCAAATGAAGTCTTAAACACGTTTATATAGTGTTTAAGTTTTGGACACAGTGGAATTCTACCCGATACCGGCGTTAGACGGGGTTTTGGTCGTACCCGATTAAGTTACCGTAACCCGATACGGTAATATCTAGAAATATTCCGATCACTAAAGTTGAGTGTTAAAATGATTTTTAAATGTATTAAGACACCCATTAAGTCATTTTAAATGTGTACCAGATAATGACTTAATTATACGGAAGATCGGAAATCGAAATCGGAACGAAGATCGGTTGTGCGAATTGTACTACGAAAGAGTTACAATAAATGATATGGAAATTTCGGGTTGTTACATCGGGGCACGAGAACATCTCAAAGATGGCTTCAGTTCTTTCGATCCATTGGGACAGTGCAATGATCCCTCCGGTTCCATTGAAGAATGTGGGTTTGCAGCTCATGAAATCCTTATAGGTACACCCCTGTGTACGAGAGTGGATTTCACCATGTCTAGAGTTGGTGCCCATTCATGCTCCACTTGCATCACCAGAATTTATTTGGTCATAGCCGCAGTCACAGTTGCGGCCTATCTGAAACATCACTGGATCGAACTGTGGAGGAAGAGGTGGTGGAGGTGGAGTTTGATTCGTAGGCAGGTCTCTGGTTGGACGCTTGCGACGAGGCATCTTTTACTGAAAATTCATAAAGATGATGACAATGGTGAGAAACAATTGTGAGCATGATGAGAGTGTTTCATGGATTATATTATCATAGACAAATTGTCAGATAGATTCATAATGCAGAGTAGGGAAAACATAAGAGTCTAAACTTTTTCCAATAGTTTAGATGACTGTCAATACTACTGGTATTACTGATGTAAATAAGTTCGGGAAAAATGCCCTATCAGTAGACCTTACATCAAACCATATGAGGGAAAATGATTGACAATTTAGAAGACTACATAACATACTGAAAGATAGGAATATTCTACATACAAGTGTTTCATTCAAGCGTAGATGCTAAAGGCTATTCCTTATTCAAAAGAAAAGATGTGTTAGACATCTTTTTAATGGCGGCAGCGGACGTTTCTCGGGCAAACCCTAAGGTCTGCCAATTGACGTTCCACGTCAAGGAGGTGTCGTTTGTAGACTCTCTGGCGAACCCGGAGCTCTATGACTTCAGCCCGAGTCTCAGCTAATGCTTGAAGTAAGGCCTCATGGTCCATTGCAGACCTCTCCTTAGCATGCTCCAGACGAGTGGTGCGAATGGAGTGCAGTCCTCCATATGCATCAACCTCTGCGATGCGCTGGAGGGCTGTCCTACCTTAGATTTTATTGTGGGAAACTCTTCGGACCAGGATGGAGTACAGCACAAAGCAGGACCCGCCTCAACCTAACCCCAGTCAACCAACCATGTGCACATAAAAATATAACCACATAACAATTAATCATCAGTCAACTGGTCTAGTAGATGACATACATAGCGTACTCTAATCAGGATACCGACTTAACCTGTCACTAACATATACCATCCTAACTACCAGAATGCAAACATAGCAAAGCAATAACACAACAAAAAATACTCGAATTACAATCTGATAAAGGTCTGACCTTGGTACCTTTATTACCTGGGACGTCCATAAAGCTCTTAATTCAAGGTCTTAATCCATTAAGACCTACTTATATCACATATGAGACAGCCAAAGCCCTTGGGACCTTATTTTTCTCACTCAAGACCTCTCATAAGGTCTGAAAGGCCAGCTAATCTCGACCAACTCGAATCATGCATCAAGATGAGGTTTTTGGGACAAGAATGGTGTCAAAACTTCACAACACATAGATCTACACAATGTGATTGTCAAGCTAGAGACTTTTTACCTCAAAAGGGCTCTAGAAGATGATGCCTTTCTAGATCTACAAGCTCCAGCCACTCAACTTCTTCTTTGACAACTCCCTCTTTTCCTCTTTCAAGCTTAAACCACCAAGATAAGCTTACCAAGGCCAAGATCTCTAGAAATGAAGGTTGGAACGTTCTAGGGTTTCTTCTGAGCCTAGGGAGGCTAATATGGGAGCTAGGGTCGAAGCCATAATGTTCTATATATAG